TTTGGGTCTTGGGTTCCATTTCCACCTTGATTTGCTGTGCAGCCTTAGGCAAGTGTCTCTACCTCTCTGAACAATGGGGATGATAAGAGCATGTGCCCCAGAAGGGCATTGCGGGGACTGAATGATTTAATGCTTGGGACAGAGTGCCTGCCATGTCATTAGTGCCCACATGCTGATGGCTCTTTTAATATCCTTTAAACAGCACAAGGTTCTGCTGATTAAATGATAATCATCATAGCTGATGCTTTAAAAAAAACTGGTGAGTGTCAGACCCTGTTCTAGGAAGTTTAATTCATTTAATCCCCACAAGTGTAAAAAGTAGATCCCATTTTACTCCTAATTTTACAGATGAAGAAACTGAGGCTCAGGAAGGTTGGGGCTGGGTGCTGTGGCTCACAGTTGCAATCCTAGCACTTTGGGATGCCGAGGTGGGTGGATCACCTGAGGTCAGGAGTTTGAGACCAGCTGGCCAACATGGTGAAACCCTGTCTCTACTAAAAATACAAAAATTAGCCGGGCGTGATGGTGGGCGCCTGTAATCACAGCTACTTGGGAGGCTGAGGCAGGAGAATCACTTGAACCTGGGAGGCAGAGCTTGCAGTGAGCCCAGACCGTGCCATTGCACTCCAGCCTAGGCAAAGAGAGGAAAACTGCATCTCAAAAAAAAAAAAAAAAAGATGGAGTGACTTGCTCGAGGTTGCCCAGCCAGGTAGAGGCAGAGCTGGTTTCAATCAGCCAGAGGAAGGTCATGACACTGACCCTCCTGTTAAGACGATGTCTGACCCCTGATGGGGATGGAAATGAAGTTTGTACCTCGTGTACCCCTTGCCCTTCACGTCCAGTTGTTGGGGGGCTGTGGCATGGCCCCTGGGTGTCTGGGCCTGATTCTTTCTTGGGTGTTGTTTCTGTCTCTCCTCCCCTGTCCCCTCCTCCCTCTTGCCACCACCCGCCTCAGACTTCCTCCTTCACTTGCTTGGACGCTGCGCCACATCCCACCGGCCCTTACACTGTGGTGTCCAGCAGCATCCGGCTTCATGGGGGGCCTTGAACCCTGCAGCAGGCTCCTGCTCCTGCCTCTCCTGCTGGCTGTAGGTGGTGAGTTGGGGGCTTCCGCACCTGCCTCCCGGGTCCCTGGGCTCAGCTTGGGGCAGGGCAGGGAGCGGGGTGAAACGAGAGAACGAAAAGTGGGTGTTGGGATGGGAGCAGGTCCCCAGCCTCCCAAAGCCTGGGGGTTTCTCCCAGAGCCGGAGCTCCCAAGTTTCGTCATCCGCTACAAGTAGTGGGGAAGAGACATCTGAGAGTGTTGCCACAGAACACATTGTGCAGAGGTAACACACATAGTCCAGTGGCCCAGACGCCAGCCCCCTGAGTCCCGCCAGACACACTCTCCCCCTTGCTTACCTCCTGGCTGTCAGGATCCACCCTCCCCAGCTTCTAAACTTGCCTCCTCGACCCCCATCGTAACTCTGTGCCTCAGTTTACCTTCTTTTTCCTCCTTAGGTCTCCGTCCTGTCCAGGCCCAGGCCCAGAGCGGTAGGCCTAGACCCAGCGGTCCCTCTCCCTTCCTCCCAAAGACCTCCCTGTCTCCGTCCCTCCCTCACCCTTTCCAAACCTCCCCGCCTCTGACCCCCTCCCCACAGTTCCCAGCGCACACTGACCTCCCCTGACCCCTGTGCTGCAGACTGTAGTTGCTCTACGGTGAGCCCGGGCGTGCTGGCAGGGATCGTGCTGGGGGACCTGGTGCTGACAGTGCTCATCGCCCTGGCTGTGTACTTCCTGGGCCGGCTGGTCCCTCGGGGGCGAGGGGCTGCGGAGGGTGAGTGGGGCTAGCAGGGGACAACCTAAGGACTTGCCTAGATGGGGGTGGGCAGCTGGGTAAGCTCCCAGATCTCAAACACCCGAAGGGATGGTAATGGAGGTGCTGATTTGGAAATGACAAAACACCCTCAACTCACCACTCTGCCTGTGTCTACACCTCACAACACCCCTCACCTCCAGCAGCGACCCGGAAACAGCGTATCACTGAGACGGAGTCGCCTTATCAGGTGAGAAAACCAGACTGTCCTCCTCACATTTCACTCCTGTCTGGGGATATCTGCCCAATACTCCTTCATGCCATCAGAGGGACTTCAAAGCCACTCTCCCTGAAGCACCCCCAAACCTTGAGGGCACATGGGACATCTGTCCAAAACTGACAAGCTTATGGTCAACTTAAAATGTGTGAAGAGGGGCTGGGCACAGTGACTCAAGCCTGTAATCCCAGCACTTTGGGAGGCTGAGGCGGGTGGATCACTTGAGGTCAGGAGTTCGAGACCAACATAGTGAGACCCTGTCTCTACTAAAAATACAAAATTAGCTGGGTGTGGTAACGCATGCCTGTAATCCCAGATACTTGGGAGGCTTAGGCAGGAGAATCCTTTGACCCGGGAGGCGGAGGTTGCAGTGAGCCAAGATCACGCAATTGCACTCCAGCCTGGGCAACAAGGGGGAAACTCTGTCTGAAAAAAAAAAAAAAAAGGGTGTCTTTACCTTTGTACGTGCAAGCACAGACCTTGCCAGAAGTCAGGCCAGGAATTTTCTGGAAGAAACCCAGCCCTAGGACGACTGATTTCTGGGAGATGCTCTCAGTAGGGCAGAGAATATCATTCAGCCCTACCTTGGTAACTCTAAAGGGAGGAGTCCTACAATTTCTTTTTGGGGTTTGAGGACCCTGCATCCCTTTGAGAAACTAAGAAAATCTAAAATCCTCAGAAAAATCCACACAAAAAATACAGAATTGTGTATATAATCTGAGAGCAGTGTAAGTGTTTTTTATAATTAAAAAAAAGTTTTTTTGGCCAGGCATGGTGATGCACACCTGTAATCCCAGCACTTTGGGAGGCTGAGGCAGGTGGATCACGAGGTCAGGAGTTCAAGACCAGCCTGGCCAAGATGGTGAAATCCCATCTCTACTAAAAATACAAAAATTAGCCAGGCATGGTGTCAGGCACCTGTAATTCTAGCTTCTTGGGAGGCTGAGGCAAGAGAATCGCTTGAATCCGGGGGTTGGTGGTTGCAGTGAGCCAAGATTATGCCACTACACTCCAGCCTGGGAGACAGTGAGACTCCGTCTCAAAAAGAAAAAAAAAAAAAAGAAAAGAAAAGACAGGGATCTCACTATGTTGCCCAGGCTGGTCTCAAACTCCTGGTCTCAAGTGATCCTCCCACCTCAGCCTCCAAAAATCTTGGGATTACAGGCACAAGCAAACGTGCTGGTTGCGTATTCTTGAAGCTCTTCGTTCTTTCTTTTCTTTAATTTTTTTTTTTTTTCTTGAGATGGAGTCTCACTCTGTAACCCAGGCTGGAGTGCAATGGCGTTGTCTCAGCTCACTGCAACCTCCACCTCCCAGGTTCAATCGATTCTCCTGCCTCAGCCTCTCGAGTAGCTGAAACTACGGGCACATGCCACCACACCCAGCTAATTTTTGTATTTTTAGTAGAGATGAGGTTTCACTATGTTGGCCAGGCTGGTCTCAATCTCCTGACCTCGTGATCCGCCCACCTTGGCCTCCCAAAGTGCTGGGATTACAGGTGTGAGCCACCACACCCAACCTTATTTATTTATTTATTTTTTAAAGTAGAGATAGGTTTTCACTATGTTGCCCAGGCTGGTCTCAAACTCCTGGGCTCAAGAGATCCCGTTACCTCGGTCTCCCAAAGTGCTGGGATTATAAGCATGAGTCACCATGCCTGGCTGAAGCTCTTTTTAAAAACTATGGTGTATACAAGAGAATCTAGTCATCTATCCTCCTCTCTGTCAATGTTCCTTTTTAACCCTTTAGGGGGTCATGAGATCCTCTAAGACCCCACCCCTGAAAATGCATGCCCAGACTAGTCATTATATATAATTTTAGGGTTTCTGTGTGAGGCTTGCCCCTGGGGGGGCACATAGATCCTCTCCCCACCCCAAGTGTGAACCCCGCTGTGTGGAGTCTGATGTATTATCTGCGGCCAGCTTTGCCTATTCACCTCACTTGTGGATAAAGTTTCTTTGTGAAGTCTAAGAACCTCAGGTTTGGCTCTGTGATATCCAGAAGACCGAGGGGCCTTTCCAGTTACTGGTGGCAGTGAAATTTTAGGGCAAAGCGTTACGCTTTGTATTCATGTATTCATTCCCTCTGTGGATGTGTCCAGCACCTATAAGTGCTCGATGCTGGGGACACAGTGACAGAGTTTATGTCATAGTTAAGACAAACTTGAAGCAAATGAACTAATACAATAATTTTGGGAGGCACAGTAAAGGAAATAAACAGGCTTTTGTTACAGTGACTGGAGTGTGGGGGGAAGAAACTACAGAGGGGAAATTGAGAAATGCCTCTCTGAGGAGGTGACGTGAACTGAGACTTGAAGGGAGAGGAGATCTAGGGGAACAGAGTTTCAGGTGGAGGGAACAGCACATGCAGGGGCCCTGAGGCCAGGGCGTACTGATGAGGCAGAGGAGAAGGGGGGAACATTGAACGCGCTTGAATAAAACCCAGATCTCTTCCATGGCTATAAAGCTGAAGAAGCTGCCGGGGCCTTGTAGGCCACTGGGAGAAGCCTGAAGGCTGGATTTTATTTGGTGGGTCCCTTCCACTGATGGTCCCCATCCTTTTAGGAGCTCCAGGGTCAGAGGTCGGATGTCTACAGCGACCTCAACACACAGAGGCCATATTACAAATGAGCCCGAATCATGACAGTCAGCAACCTGATACCTGGATCCAGCCATTCCTGAAGCCCACCCCGCACCTCATTCCAACTCCTACCGTGATACAGACCCACAGAGTACCGTCCCTGAGAGACCAGACCTCTCCCCAATACTGCCCTCAAATAAACATGAAGCACAAAAACATTATGCCAGATCCTTAGGCTGATGGGATGGGGGACATGTGGGGGTCCCAAGGGGGCCTTGGATCCAGAAACAGTTCATGGGAGGGAGGCTTTGGGAACGCTGGGGTTCTTTGAGGAAGAATACGACTACAGGTGTTTCAATTGTTTTATTACAATCCAAAAGTTTGGGCAGGGGGTTCCTGCGGCACCACACATCATCCAGGATGAGAGGGTCGGAAGTCAAAGGTCCAAGGTGCAGGAGGGTCAGCCCCTGCCCGGCATGTTGATGTAGACTTTGCCATCTTCTGGGGGTAGGGAAAGAAAGCATGAAGCCTGACCACCCACATCTCCACTTCCCTGGGGACCCCCTGCTTCAGGGGTTTCCTCAGGGGTTCCCCCGGGCACCTCCCCCAGGGTTTCCCCAGCACCTCCTCCAGGGCTTCCCCAAGGGCCCCCTCCCTGGGACCCCCTCCCTAGGGACACCATGCACCCTCCAGGCCCCGCCCATCCCTGCCCTTACCTTGGGCGGGGCTGCGGCGTGGGCGTGCGCACAGGAACACCGCCCCCACGATGAGCAGCGACGCCACCGCATCCGCCGCCACGAGGCCTGCCAGGAGCGGCAGAGAGAGGGACCCACATCCGGAACAGGAGCCTGGAGAGCGGGGGCCGGAACAGGGAGACAGTCAGGCTCTGCGTCCTGGGGCTATGCTTTGGTCACAGGGAGACAGGAAGTCCCCTGTGAGGGGTGGGTCCCAGGTTCCCTAGGGTTGCGCTTGGGGAATGAAACAGGAGATAGAGATGCGGAGAGGCTGGGTGTCCCAGGACCCTCGGGGCTGTGCGGCGGGCACACGGGGGACTCCTGAACAGAGGCTGGGGGTCGCTGATTCTGGGACTTGGAGAAGGACACGGATTGTCTGATTTGGGGACGGGAGGTGGGATGGTGACCTGGAGAGCCACTGGGGTGTTCTGGGAGCCTCTGGCCAAGCTTCTGGGATGGAAGTGACACCTGAAGTGCCAGGGTAAAAAGCAAGGAGTGATCTCTCACCTGGGGTCGTCTGAGCTGCAGCCACTGTGGAAAGAGAAAGAAGGTAGATGAGGATGGAGAGAAGGTCCACAGAACAGAATGCTCAGTCCGTCGCGGTGGCTTATGCCTGTCATCCTAGCACTTTGGGAGGTGGAGGCAGAAAGATCACTTGAGCCCAGGAGTTCGAGACCAGCCTGGACAACATAGTGAGACCCCCATCTCTGCAAGAAATACAAAAATTAGCTGAAGGTGTTGGTTCGCACCTGTAATCCCAGTTACTCGGGAGGCTGAGGTGGGAGGATCACCTGAGCCCAGGAAGTCAAGACTGCAGTAAGCCATGATTGCGCCACTGCACTCCAGCTTGGACAACAGGGCAAGACCCCATCTCAAAACAAACAAACCAAAAAATATGGTGTACGGAAGGAAAGGTAGTGTCCTGAGAAGTAATCTCCATGTTGGAGAGATGGAACAGGGCCACATGGGAAGGGGACTCCCAGAGACATGGAGAGTGACAAGAAATTGGAAGTGGCAGCAGAGACCCAGCCACGAGAAGGGGATGCTAACAGGCAGCCCCTCCAGAACTCCCTGCCTCACCTCCTCCCGCCCCCAAGGACCCAGGCTCTGAAGCCAAATGGATCTCCCAGAAGGGAAGGGGTGCAGGGAAAAGAACCCCACTTTCAGCACCCGTCCCTACAGACGTCACCCATCTCACAAACACTCTGCCTACCATCCCCTGTAACCACTGGCTTCACCTGGGAGCAAAAGCAGGAAGAGGATGTGACCCGGATGGATCATGGTGGGCTGGGGTCTGGCAGGGGTCTGGTAGAGGACTGTGGTCCAGAGAAGTCCCGAGGAACTGTGGGGGAGCAGAGAAGTAGCAATAGCGGATGTCACCCTGCTGGTGTCAAAGCCATCTGCTTCCTGTGTCTGTTGAGGGGGTGTCTCTGTTATTGCCTTTGGTGAACTGACTCAGGGGGAGGGTCAGAGAGACCAGGGAGGCTGCTGGCCTGGCCAAGTGGGAATGACAGGTGGCCAGCGGTGCAGGCTAGGGAGATCTGGAAATATTTTGGAGGTACGGCCAACAAAATTTGCTGATGAAATGGATGTGGGTGTGTTTGAGAGGGATCCTAGACAGCCAAGCCTTCTGGCGTGAAAAGCTGAGAAGATGGGAGTGTCTGCTGGCAGAGATGAAAGGTGGGGAAGTGGGTTTGCGGGGAAAGTGACGAGGTTTGGGCACACGGAGTTGGAAATGCCTGATAATCTCCCTGTGGAGATGCTGAATGACCTCACTGCATTTAGGAGTTCAGGGGATAAGGCTAGTCTGGAGATGTAAATTTGGGGGTTGATGGCTTATGGATGCTACTTAAAGCCACAAGACTGGGTGAGATCACCAAGGAAGTGAGTGCAGACAGGATTCTGCCCCCATCCCAACACACATTGAATGGGGGAAGAGGAGGAACTCTGCCAGGGAAATGGAGAAAGAGGGAGTAAGGGAGGGGACACCGGAGAGCTTGGCATCTTGAAAGCAGGGGAGAGACCACCGTGGTGGCTCATGCCTGTAATCCCAGCACTTTGGCAGGCCAAGGCAGGAGGATCACCTGAGGTCAGGAGTTCAAGCCAACATGGTGAAACCCCATCTCTACAAAAATACAAAAATTACCCGGGCATGGTGTCAGGCTCCTGTAATGCCAGCTACTTGGGAGACTGAAGCAGGTGGAGGTTGCACTGAGCTGAGATCTCGCCACTTTGCCACTGCACACCAGCCTAGGTGACAGAGTGAGGCCCTGTCTCCAAAAAAAGAAAGAAAAAGAAAAAGAATAAGAAAAGAAAAGCAAGCAAGCAAACAAGCAGGGGAGAAATAGGGCCAACGTGGTCAGTGCTGTGAAAGGTCACTAAGTGAAACTGACAGTGGCCTCCCACTGGAATGTCAGCTCCAGGGCTGGGAATTCCTGTCTACTTAGTTCACAGTACCCAGCAAAATGCCGCCTCTGCTGCAATGAATTATTTTAAATGATGGATGAGTAAATGAAACCAGACCTCTGAAAAGGGTGATGTAGGGGAGAGGAAGAAATTGAGCCACACCCTATACCGTTACCCACAGGCCCTTTCTCTGGGAGTCTAGACCCCCAGTCCTCCCCTCCCTCTGGACCCAGTAATATTCTCCCTGCCCCTACCCCTATCTCCATTCCCACTCCTACCCCTACCTCCATGGGCAGGACCCAGGAGACAAAGCCTCCAGCACCCCCTTGGACAGACTCAGAAATCCAGGCCCCAGCCAGGCACCACGGCTCAAGCCTGTAATCCCAGCACTTTGGGAGGTCAAGGCAGGTGGGTCACCTGAGGTCAGGAGTTCGAGACCAGCCTGACCAAATGGTGAAACCCCGTCTGTCCTAAAAATACAAAAATTAGTCAGGCGTGGTGTCTGGCGCCTGTAGTGTCAGCTACTCGGGAGGCTGAGGCGAGAGAATCACTAGAAAAGAAATCCAGGCCCCCCAGTATACCCCTCCTCTTGGAGCCCAGTACCCTAGGCTCCTTCAGACCAAAGATCTGGACCCCAGCTCCCTCCTTCCCCAGGGACCTAGTAGTCCGCCTCCCAAGTCCACCCTGCCCATTCAGGGACTGCGTTCGCCGGAGCGCGACCCGGGGACTCCCAGGCTTGTGGGCGGGCCCTGCCCAGGACTGGGCGGTGCCAGAACCCCTAGTTTAAAAACTCGCGGGTACCGGACCTAAGATCGGGGACCCGGCGGCGGCTCCGCGGGGGAAACAGCGAGGCTGGCGCAGCGCCGAGGCCGCGGCCCTGGGGGCCCGCAATCCACGCCAAGGAATCCCCGAGGTAACGGGTGCGGGTAGGGCACGCTCGGCCCGCTAAGAGAGTGAGGGACTGAGGATCGAAAGACTCCCGAGGCCCTGAGGGACGGAGCTGGAGCGTCAGTCCTGTGTCCCGAGAGTGAGGGTCCTAGGTGTTTGGAGGAGGAGGGGATCGTGGATCGTGACGGAGGGGCGGCTGGGATCTCGGACTTCTGGGTCCTGGGGGTGCAGGGGTCTGGGGATCTAGTATCGCGGTGCCCCGAGGGTGAAAGGGCTGGGAGGTTGGACCTCTGGGTCCTTGGAGGTGCTAGGGGTTGCTGGCAGCCGAGACTCCTAACCCTAGAAGGAGGGACTGGGCTGAGCGCTGGGGGGCGTGGTTGCTTAAAATCGGCGCGGGTCTCGGTGGGGAAGGGTCCGGAGCCTGGCCTCAGGGGTCTACGCTGGCGGTGACCCTGCCTCTGCCCCGCCCTGGGATTTCCGGATCGCCACCCGTGCGGGTCTGAGCAGGAATTCCCCTTGCGCGGGGATTCCACGAGCGCCACGCTCGGCCGCGCACCCCGCCTCGGAGCAGGACACCTGGGGCACAGGCCTAGGGGGAAGGGGAGGATGGAAGATTCCCTTGCGTGAGCGCCGTGGCGTCATTGCGCCGCGTCCGGGCGGTTTCCGAGCCGCCTCCTCCCGCCCCCGCCCCCAGCAATCCCCGCTTAACCCTTCCTCCGCCGGAATTCAGGCTCAAGGGTGAGGGTTGTCTTTCTGGGTGGTGATAAGGAGTTTGGCAACCGGGGCTCCCAGGTCCTCGAGAGGAACGAACTGAGGGTACAGACTCCTGGGGCCTGAAAGCGAGACTGTATGGATGGGACTTTTTTTTTTTTTTTTTTAATGGAGTCTCTCTCTGTCACCCAGGCTGGAGTGCAGTGGCGTGATCTCTGCTCACTGCAACCTCAACCTCCGCCTCCTGGCTTCAAGTGATTCCCCTGCCTCAGCCTCCCAAGTAGCTGCAATTACAGGCGCCCGCCACCACACCCGGCCAGTTTTTATATTTTTAGTAGAGACGGGGTTTCGCCATGTTGGTCAGGATGGTCTCGAACTCCTGACCTCAGGTGATCCAACCGCCTTGGCCTCCTAAAGTGTTGGGATTACAGGCGTGAGCCACCGCTCCCGGCCCAGGGTGATGCCTTTGACTTCTCGAGGAGGGGCGCTGGGGACTCCTGATTTCCGAGTCAGGTTCTAGGGCAAAAAAATGTTGGGAACCTGGATGTGCGTCTAGGGAGTGATGCCTGGGGCCCGACCCCCACCAACCCGCTGACTTCAAAACTGGGATATCTGGGGGTGGAATTTTTTTACGGAAGTTGGGTGGTTGCTGCAGAGGGGTGCCCTCCTCCCCCTTCCTCACTTTCCGCAACGCTGGTGGAAAGTTGGGTCAGAGGGAAAGTGCGGAGCAAAAGGAAGGAAACGGCGGAGGCGGATGCCCCACCCCAAATCTTCTAATGGCTTTGGAGGAGTCAGGCGGCATCTATGTGCCAGTTTTTCCGCGCGGGAGGGCGAGGAGGGTGCTCAAACCCACTCCCCCCGCGCCACCCCCGCCACATTTAGGTGACTTAAGGACCCTTGATGACTTCTCCCCCCGCCCTCTCCCGCACAGTTAGCAGGGGTGAGCGCAGTCACTGCCCAACGCAAACCGTGAAGAAGCTTCTGGAAGAGCAGAGGCGCCGCCAGCAGCAGCAGCCGGACGCTGGCGGGGTGCAGGTAAGGCCAGGGGCCACAGCTCTCAGGAGGCCCCGTGCTGTCCCGTAGGGACTCAGCGGCTTGCCGGAGGCACTCGGGGCTGATGAGAGGGGTGGTCCTGACCGAAATGTCCTATAGATCCGAGACAGAACGAAGGAATCTGCCAGATAGTCACCTGGGTTCCTTTTTGCTTTTGTCTCTGCAGGGGCAATTTCTCCCTCCCCCAGAGCAGCCCCTGACCCCATCTGTGAATGAGGCTGTGACTGGTAAGTTCTCTGGGCTCCCAGCCTCCCCATCCCCCTTCCCTAAGGGACTCAGACATCCCAGCTCTCAGAACTTTGGGACACCTAGGAGTCAGGCCCTCATTCTTCCCTTTTTTTTTTTTTTTTTTTTTTTTGGAGACAGGATCTCACTCTGTTGCCCTGGCACTGGAAGGAGTGCAGTGGCACTACCTGGCTCACTGCAGCCTCAACCTTCTGGGCTTGAGTGATCCTCCCGCCTCAGCCTCCCAAGTAGCTGGGACCACAGGCAATGCCACCTTGCTCGGCTAATTTTTTAAATTTTTGTAGAAACGGGGTTTGACTATGTTGCCCAGGCTGGTAGGCCCTCATTCTTGCTGGAACTCAGTAGCAGTCTGATTTCCTAGGTTCTCTGAGTCCAGTAGTCTATGCATATGGTCCTACAGAACCCCAGGGCCCAGGCTCCAGCCTTTTTAGTGCCCCAGGAGTCCAGGCCCTCAATTCCTCAGTGTCCTAGGAATCCAGATCCCAGGCACTTGGTGTCCCAGAAGTACTAATTTTCAGTACCTTGGGAGACACCAGGCCCTCTACCCCTGGATGTGAAGTCCCCAACTCTGGTAACCAGACCTGCCCCTGCCCCTCCTCTTACACGCAGGCCACCCTCCCTTCCCAGCACACTCGGAGACTGTGGGTTCTGGACTTAGCAGCCTGGGTCTCCCCATGGGCTTTCCAGACTGGGACCCCAGCACGCATGCTGCCTACACAGACAGCCCCTACTCTTGCCCTGCTTCTGCTGCCGAAAGTTTCCTGCCTCCTGACTTCTACCCACCCTCGGACCCAGGGCAGCCGTGCCCATTTCCCCAGGGCATGGAGGTGAGATACAGAGTGGGTACAGGATGCTGAAGGGCCCCTAAAAATTTGCATTTGCACTCCTGCAGTATTCTGAGATGTCTGGAGCTCAGTTACGATCCACTTTTCCAGGCCGGGTGTGGTGGCTCACGCCTGTAATCCCAGCACTTTGGGAGGCTAAGGCAGGCGGATCACTTGAGGTCAGGCGTTTGAGACCAGCCTGGCCAACATGGTGAAACCAAAAATACAAAAATTAGCTGGGTGTGGTGGCGCGCGCCTGTAATCCTAGTTACTCGGGAGGCTGAGGCAGGGGAATTGCTTGAACCCAGGAGGTAGAGGTTGCAGTGAGTGGAGATTGCACCGATGCACTCCAGCCTGGGTGACAAAGCAAGACTCTGTGCCGGAAAAAAAAAAAAAAAAAAAAAATCCCCTTTTCCAGATGGGCAAAACTGAGGCCTAAAGGTCGAAAGTCACTTGGCATAGATGGGATACCCAGGGGCTCTGCAGGCAGGTGTGTGTGTGGTGGCTTGGGATGGGAAAGTTCTCAGCTGACTGGCTCTCCCCACCACCTGCACCCTTCAGGACCCCCCGGACACCCGGTTCTATGCAGAATCTTCCCTACCACAGGCAGGACCCTGGAGAGTTTCTACACTCCCTTCGGGACCCCCACAGTTCCCCGCTGTGGTCCCTGGACCATCGCTGGAGGCGGCCCGAGCTCACATACTGGCTTTGGGGCCACAGCAGCTGCTGGCCCAGGATGAGGAGGGGGACACGTGAGTATAGGGGATGGGGTTGTCTGCAGACTCTTGGCTTGGCGGGGGCTGTTCTCACGCCTGTCCCCCGTCTGTCCTCAGGCTCCTTCACCTGTTTGCGGCTCGGGGGCTGCGCTGGGCGGCGTACGCTGCGGCTGAGGTGCTCCAGGTGTACCGGCGTCTTGACATTCGTGAGCATAAGGGCAAGGTGAGGCCTGGGGCCTGAACTCTCCTGGGTTCAGGGGAGGAGGGAGCCTGGGGCCTGGACCCCTGGATCCTAGAGAAGAGGGGAATCAGGGGTTAGCTCCTGGGGCTGAGGGGAGACGGGGCTGGGAGCCTGGTTTTCCGACAGGAGGGAACCAGGAGCCCAGCCTGACCTCTCCTGTGACTTGCAGACCCCTCTCCTGGTGGCGGCTGCTGCCAACCAGCCCCTGATTGTGGAGGATCTGCTGAACCTGGGAGCAGAGCCCAACGCCACTGACCATCAGGGACGTTCGGTCTTGCACGTGGCCGCTACCTACGGGCTCCCAGGAGTTCTCTTGGTACGGCCAACTGGCAGGCAGGGGTTCGTCTGGGGGGTAGACTGGTTGCCCGGATTTTGGCTTCCAGGGTCAGGAGGCCAGGGGATAACCTTACCCAGTACTCTGTCTTCTCTTCCTCCCAGGCTGTGCTTAACTCCGGGGTCCAGGTTGACCTGGAAGCCAGAGACTTCGAGGGTAAGTTGGGTGTAGGGAGGGCTGGTGTGGTTGGTATGACTGGGCGAGGTAGGTGCAACAGATGCAAGTCCCTTACTGTCTCCATTCTGCAGGCCTCACCCCGCTCCACACGGCCATCCTGGCCCTTAACGTTGCTATGCGCCCTTCTGACCTCTGCCCCCGGGTGCTGAGCACGCAGGCCCGAGACAGACTGGATTGTGTCCACATGTTGCTGCAAATGGGTGCTAATCACACCAGCCAGGTGAGCTGGGATGTGGGCGGTTGGTCCCTGGGAGATTGTGTGGAATGGGGCCACTTTGATGTCCGGGAGCTCCAGACAAATGCTGACTTTGCCTCTTCTTTGCTGCATGCCCTTGAACATGTTACTTCACTTCTCTGTGCCTTGGGGGTTTTTTGTTTGTTTGTTTTGAGAGGGAGTTTTGCTGTTGTTGCCCTGGCTGGAGTGCAATGATGTGATCTCGGCTCACTGCAACCTCCGCCTCCTGGGTTCAAGCGATTCTCCTGTGTCAGCCTCCCGAGTAGCTGGGATTACAGGCATGAGCCACCATGTCTGGCTAAGTTTTTGTGTTTTTAGTAGAGACGGGGTTTCTCCATGTTGGTCCTGCTGGTCTTGAACTCCTGACCTCAGGTGATCCACCTGCCTTGGCCTCCCAAAGTGCTGGGATGACAGGCGGGAGCCACCATGCCCTGCAGGGTTTTGTCGTTGTTGTTGTTATTGTTATTTGTTTGTTTTGTTTGTTTGTTGAGACAGGGTCTCACTCTGTCGTCCAGGCTAGAGTGCAGTGGTGCAATCTCGTCTCACAGCCACCTCTATCTCCCAGGTTCAAGCGATTCTCCTGCCTTAGCCTCCTGAGTAGCTGGGACTGTAGGCGCATGCCACCATGCCCGGCAATTTTTTTTTTTTTTTTTTTATTTTAGTAGAGGTGGGCTTTCATCGTGTTGGCAGGGCTGGTCTCAAACTCCTGACCTCAAATGATCCCCCCACCTTGGCCTCCCAAAGTGCTGGGATTACAGGCATGAGCCACCATACCCGGCCCCTAGTTGTTAACTGGGAATAATATTACTGACCTTAGGGTATGTTATCAAGCACTTAGTTTTCATTCATCAAGCACTGAGTTTCAGATTAGCTTATTGAAACCTCACAAACACCCTTTGACATGTGTACTCTTTCTATTTTCTCTATTTTACTGATAAGGAAACTGAGGCACGGGAAATCAAAAATCTTTTTTTTTTCTTTTTGAGACAGAGTTTTGCTCTTGTCGCCCAGGCTGGAGTGCAATGGTGCAATCTCGGCTCACTGCAACCTCCGCCTCCTGGGTTCAAGCGATTCTCCTGTGTCAGCCTCCCGAGTAGCTGGGATTACAGGTTCCCACCACCACGCCCAGCTAATTTTGTATTTTTAGTAGAGACAGGGTTTCTCCATGTTGGCCAGGCTGGTCTCGAACTCCCGACCTCAGGTGATCTTCCTGCCTTGGCCTCCCAAAGTGCTGGGATTACAAGCGTGAGCCACTGCACCTGGCCTCAAAAATCTTTTTGAGACAGGGTCTCACTCTGTCACTCAGGCTGGATCACAGCTTATTGCAGCCTTGACCTTGTGCACTTAAGTGATCCTCCCACCTCAGCCTCCCAAGTAACTGTGATCACAAGCATGCACCACCACCCCTGGCTACTTTTTTGTAGAGGTAAGGTCTAACTATGTTGGCCAGGCAGGTCTCAAACTCCTGAGCTCAAGCAATCCTTCCACCTCTGCCTCTGAAAGTGCTGGGATTACAGTTGTGAGCCACTGCACCCAGCCTAAAAAATCTTACAGCTTGTGAGTGTCAGAGATGGGATTAGAACCCAGGTAGTCTGACTTTAGAACCTAGCTTTTAATTATGTTCTATTCCTTTCTTGTGACAGTAGCTCCTTCATAGGCTGGCTGAGATAATTAAACATCCACAAAAAATGTTTATTTATTTATTGAGATGGAATCTCACTCTGTCACCCAAGCTGGAGTGCAGTGGTGTGATCTCAGCTCACTGCAACCTCTGCCTCCCGGGTTCAAGCGATGCTTCTGCCTCAGCCTCCTGTGTAGCTGGGACTACAGTCATGCACCACCACGCCCGGCGATTTTTTTGTATTTTTAGTGGAGACAGGGTTTCACTATGTTGGCCAGGCTGGTCTCAAACTCCTGACCTCAGGTGATCCGCCCACCTTGGCCTCCCAAAGTGCTAGGATTACAGGCATGAGCCACCACGCCCAGCCAAAACATATTTTTTTAGTTAAAGAATATTGAACACCAATAAAATATAGAAAATCGTAGAATGAACTCCTTGTGTCCAACATCAGTAACCAGCGACTCATGGCCAGCCTTGCCCCCATCCGCTCTCTCACTGTCATGTGATTTTTTTTTTTTTTTTTTTTGACGGATCTTGCTCTGTCACCCAGGCTGGAGTGCAGTGGCATGATCTCAGCTCACTGCAAGCTCCACCTCCAGGGTTCACACCATTCTCCTGCCTCAGCCCCCCGAGTAGCTGGGACTACAGGCACCCGCCACCATGCCCAGCTAATTTTTTGCATTTTTAGTAGAGACGGGGTTTCACCGTGTTAGCCAGGATGGTCTCGATCTCCTGACCTCGTGATCCGCCCGCCTTGGCTTCCCAAAGTGCTGGGATTACAGGCATGAGCCACCACGCCCGGCCTCTCACTTTCATGTGATTTTTAAGCAAATTCAAACGCATTTTTTTTTCAATAAATATTTGTATATCTTTAAAGAATAGCGGTGTTTAGCAGAGTTAGCTAGATGGTGGGGATGGACTGTAGGAAGGACAGGCATGGCTGAGTAGAGACAAGATAAGGCATTATTAGCGGGGTCTGGAAATGAATGATGGCAATCTAGGCTCTTAATGGTTGCAAAGTAGAGCTAAGTGATCATTTGGGCAATACAGAGAAGGTGGAATTGATACTTTGGTAATTCATTCCTTTCTTCACTCAGAATTTTGGACACGTATGATGTGGCTACCAGTGTGCTGTGATGGGGCATAAAGTTGCTTTTTGTTTGTTTGTTTTTTAGAGACAGGGTCTAGCTTTGTCACCCAGGCTAGAGTGCCATGGTGCTATCATGAATCACTGAAGCCTCGACCTCCCGGCCTCAAGCATTCCTCCCACCTCAGCCTCCCAAGTAGCTGGGACTACAGGCATGAGCCACCTCACCCGGCTAATTGTTTTCTATTTTTTGTAGAGATGGGGTCTTGCTATGTTGCCCAGGCTGGTCTCGAACTCTTGGGCCCAAGTGACTCCCCAGCCTTGGCCTCCCAAGTGCTGGGATTACAGGTGTGAGCTGCTGTGCCCAGCTACCTATAATGTTTTAATAAGAAAAGACCACTCTCTTGTACTTTTAGACATTACAATTTAATCGAAAAGAGAGGAGATGATAAGTAAACAAAGAACCGAACATAATTACAAATCGGGATGAGAGCTGCCTCGGAAATATAGGAGCTCCTAGACAATGAAAAGACTGGCTTTATGTTGGATGCGGGGCTCACGATGAAGGTCGTTCTGAGGAAATTACATTTAAGTTGAGTGAGAGATGATGAAGAGGAAGAATTAACTGTGTGGTAGGGTTCTGGGAGAACTCAGAAATCAGGGAGTATTTCTCTGAAAACAGGACAAATAAATTTTTCTTTCTTTTTTTTTTTTTTTTTGAGATGGAGTCTCGCTGTCACCCAGGCTGGAGTGCAGTGGTGCAGTCTCGGCTCACTGCAACCTTCCGGGTTCAGGTGATTCTCCTGCCTCAGCCTCCCGAGTAGCTGGGACTACAGGCATGTGCTATCACACCCCTCTAAGTTTTGTATTTTTAGTAATAATAACAAATAAATTTAAAAAAAAATAAAGATGGCTGGGTGCGGTGGCTCATGCCTGTAATCCAAGCACTTTGGGAGGCCCAGGTGAGTGGATTGCTTGAGCTCAGGAGTTCGAGACCAGCCTCGGCAACATAGGGAGACCGCATCTCTACAAAAAAATACAAAAATTAGCTGGGCTTGATGGCGCGTGCCTGTGGTCCCAGGTACTCAGGAGGCTGAGGTGGGAGGATCACCTGAACCTGGGGAGGTCAAGGCTGCAGTGAGCCATGGTGTTGCCACTGCACTCCAGCCTGGGCGACAGAGCAAGACCCTGTCTCTCAACAACAACAACAATAGTAATAATAATAATAAAAGATAAGAACTCTTTCCCTGTAATCCCAGTGCTTGGGGAGCCTAAGGTGGGAGGATCACTCGAGCCCAGTAAGTTGAGGCTGCAGTGAGTCATGGTCACACCACTGCACTCCAGCCTGGGCGACAGAGCAAGACCCTGTCTCTCAACAACAACAACAATAGTAATAATAATAATAAAAGATAAGAACTCTTTCCCTGTAATCCCAGTGCTTGGGGAGCCTAAGGTGGGAGGATCACTCGAGCCCAGTAAGTTGAGGCTGCAGTGAGTCATGGTCACACCACTGCACTCCAGCCTGGGCAACAGAGTGAGACCCCGTCTCAAAAAACAAACAAAAAAAATAACTTTTGTATTTTGAGACGGAGTCTTGCTCTGTTGCCCAGACTGCAGTGCAATGGTGTGATATTGGCTCACTGCAACCTCTGCCTCCCACGTTCAAGCTATTCCTGTGCCTCAGCCTCCCAAGTAGGTGGGATTATAGGCACGTGCCACCACGCCTGGCTAATTTTTGTATTTTTAGTAGAGACGGTTTCACCATGTTGGCCAGGCTGGTCTCAAACTCTTGACCTCAAGTGATCCGCCTGCCTCGGCCTCCCAAAGTGCTGGGATTACAGGCACGAGCCCCTGTGCCCTTCAAAAAAAAAAAAGAACTTTTTAAACCTCAGTATCATTACTCTGTCTTTAAAAAATTAAAGATTTTCTTGCAATACCAAATACCCTGGCTGTAGTCAAATTTGCTTTTGGCTATAAAATGATAATTTTTTTCATTAAAAAATAAATCAAGATCCAAGTAAGCACACATATTATGATGTTACATCTTTTCAAATCACTCTTAATCTAGAGCTTTGGTTTTGTCTTCATTTTTTGGATGAGCAAACTAGGTGGTTTTGCCCTGTTATCAACACATAAAATGTTTAACATTCATTATCATTTGCAAACTCCTTAAAGACACATAAAAAGGTTTCATTTTAGAAAATGTCTTTTATTTTCCCCCAAATATGACGGGAACAGCTCAATATTGTGGTGCAGTATTGCAATATTAGCTAGTCCACTGATTAATGCTGCCAACTCCTGTCCTTGTAGATAAAGTACAGTCTGTGTGGGTCGGAATGCAGTTTAATGTGTTGAATGGAGGGCAGGTAGCCAAGGCAGTTGCTTTGAAGAACTGGAAAAAGAATCTCTTTCCCAGACACTGGTGTGAAAATTGTCATAAGAAATGTACAGTTCTGGGAGGTGTATGGTGTGAATGGTACACCCTGAGACGGGTGTTGTGCAGTGCACAAGACATACAACTGAATAAGGCACTCTTGGTGGGGCTTGCAGAGGAGGGCCAGCATCCTATTTACTTATTTATTTATTTATTTATTTATTTTGAGATAGAGTGTCACTCTGTCACCCATGCTGGAGTGTAGTGGCATGGTCATGGCCCACTGCAGCCTTGAACTCCTAGGCTCGAATGATCCTCCTGCCTCAGCCTCCCAAGCAGCTGGGGCTACAGGTGTGCACCAGCACACCTGGCTAATTTTTCTATTTTTTGTAGAGATGAGGTCTTGCTGTGTTGTCCAGGCTGGTCTCCAGTTCCTGGCCTCAAGTGGCCCTCCTTCTTCAGCCTCTCAAAGTGCTAGGATTACAGGTGTGAACCACTGCACTCCGCCAAGGATCAGGGTGTCTAAAGGCTCCTGGATTCAGTGGGAAGGTGCGTGCGTGTGAGGCTGGCCCTGACCTCTGCCATTCCCCTCCCCCTAGGAGATCAAGAGCAACAAGACAGTTCTGCACTTGGCCGTGCAGGCTGCCAACCCCACTCTGGTTCAGCTGCTGCTGGAGCTGCCCCGGGGAGACCTGCGGACCTTTGTCAACATGAAGGTGGGAGCTGGGGCTGGGAAGTGCAGTTTGTGTGGGTTACAGTAGAGGGACAATGGGATGTTAGGGGTCCTGGGGGCTGTGGACATGGAGGGGACGATGTGTGGGATTTGCAGGGGAATGTGTAGGAAGCAGACATAGATTGCCCCGGAACGTGTAGGCCATGGACACAGGGATGCGTGCAGCGTGGCTGTGGCTGGGGGAGGTCTGGGATGTGAAAGGACAAGTACAGGACGTGGACAAGGCAGAAATTGAAGTGCAGTTTAGAGGCCTGGGCCAGCTGAGCCCAGATCCCCATCAGCCCTCCCCTTACTTTTCCAGGCCCACGGGAACACAGCCCTCCACATGGCGGCTGCCCTGCCCCCTGGGCCGGCCCAGGAGGCCATCGTGCGGCACCTGTTGGCAGCTGGGGCGGACCCCACACTGCGCAACCTGGAGAATGAGCAGCCTGTTCACCTGCTGCGTCCCGGGCCGGGCCCTGAGGGGGTGAGTAAGCACTGAGCCTGCCTGTAGAGTGGCCTCTGAGCTCTCGGGCGCGGGATGACCTCCCTGCCCCACCCAGTGCTCACTTTCAGAGAATGACTTCTAATCTTGGAAGGTGACTTCAGCCCTCAGGCAACTCTGACTCTATAATGTGCCTCTGACCTCAATGTTTCATCCCTTACCCCAGAATGGTGACTTCTCTGATCTCTACCCCAACCCTGACCTCACAGTGTGACCTGTACTCCCAGTCCTGAATCTTGCTTGACCTCAAGGTGTGACCTTTGATCCCCAAGTGTGACCTCCTGTCCCCTTCCCCTTAACCTTGGCTCCTGACCTCAGATGTGACTTTTGACCTCTTACCTGTTCCCTTCAATTCCCTCTCATTGCTCACCCCCAGGTGGGAACCCCCAGCCAGTAGCCCCTTTCCCTTCACTGAAGTTCTGCTTCCTGACCCTTTCTCAGTGTATGAACCCAGGCCTTGACCTTCTTCCCACATCTTTATTTTTATTTTTATTTATGTATTTATTTTGAGGCAGTGTCTTGCTCTGTTGCCTAGGCTGGAGTGCAGTGGCATGATCACAGCTCACTGCAGCCTCAAGTTCCTGGGCTCAAGGGATCCTCCCACCTCAGCCTCTCTAGTTGCTGGTACTACAGGCAGGCAACACCACACCCAGCTAATTTTGTTTTTTTTTTTTTTTGAGATGGGATCTCACATGTTGTCTAGGCTGGTCTCAAACTCCTGGCCTCAATTGATCCTCCCACCTTGGCCTCCCAAAGTGTTGGGATCACAGGCATGAACTATCACTCTCCCAGCCTCCTTCCCTAATCTTTTTTTTTTTTTTTTTGGCGACAGAGTCTTGCTTTGTCACCCAGGCTGGAGTGCAGTGGTGCAATTTTAGCTCACTGCAAGCTCTGCCTCCCAGGTTCACGTGATTCTCCTGCCTCAGCCTCCCAAGTTGGGACTAAAGGCACACGCGCCACCATGCCTGGCTAAGTTTTGTGTCTTTGGTAGAGGCGGGGTTTCGCCATGGTGGCCGGGCTGGTCTTGAACTCCTGACCTCAGGTGATTTGCCCACCTTAGCCCCACAAAGTGCTGGGATTACAGACGTGAGCCCCTGCACCTGGCTCTTCCAAAGTCTTGACTCTGGACCTCTGACCTGCAAATCCAACGGGCCCCACTGAACCTCTCTTCTCTAACCCCTCCCTCTGCATGGCGTGGCTTCCCCACCTCTGCTTCCAACCTGACAGACTTCTCTCCCTCTTTTGCCTTGTCTACAGCTCCGGCAGCTGTTGAAGAGGAGCCGTGTGGCGCCGCCAGGCCTGTCCTCTTAGGACTCAAACCCAGACCCTGGACTGATTTTCCAGTCCCCACCGTCCTGCGGGACAGCCAGCGTATGCTAATGTTGCAAAACCATGATAATGTATGTGGAATATCCTGCCATTGGGGTCTTACATTAAAACCCCAGAATGGCTGCAGAGGGGTGAACAGACCCCAATATTTGGGGTGCTGTGATACCCCTCTTCTACCCACAAGGAGCCCTCTTGATGATTTCTGTGAAATCGAGGCCCCTTGTTTGTTTCTGTGAAACACCCTGCACCCTTAGTCCTTTCCCCGCTGAGATCCTTCGGGTTCTCTCCCGTAACTCAGCTCTTCGTTCCCAGAAACCCAAATGTAATCCCCCTACGTGGTGCTTGGGGCATCTCAATACCATCTCAGTAAAGCTCCTACGATGGCCTCCTCGCCCTCGCCAGGACCCACACCCTTTGGGTCCTCACCCTGAGACAGGAGGGACCCTCTGAGATCAGGGACCCTTAGGTCCCACTGCTCTCTGATTCAGAACTCAGCTGGGCCCCGTTCCAGACCCCAGCATTCCTGGTCACTCCCTCCTTAATCTGGGCATCTCTCAAGCTCTTTATTAAAGTCAATTTGGGTCAGGTGTGGTGGATCATGCCTATAATCCTAACACTCTGGGAGGCCGAGGCGGGTGGATCAGTTGAGGTCAGGAGTTTGAGACCAGCCTGGCCAACATGGTGAAACCCTGTCTCCACTAAAAATACAAAAAAAATTAGCTGGACATGGTGGCGCGCACCTGTAGTCCCAGCTATCTGGGAGGCTGAGGCAGGAGAATTGCTTGAACCCAGGAGGTGGAGGTTGCAGTGAGCCAAGATTGTACCACTGCACTCCAGCCTGGGTGACAAAGCAAAATTCTGTCTAAAAAAAAAATGAAAATGAAAAATAAACTCGATTTGGACTAGAACCATTGTTGTCTGATCTCTGGGGGCACTGGCACAGGAGAGTGGCTGTGATGCCCGCCGAGGGGTCATATTGGGATGAATGTGCCTGAGGAGGGAGGACGTAGCAGCCACCATGGGTGCCAGGTCCATATCCCATCACCCTCACCCTGGTGACACAAGTAGGACTGGCCTTTGGGAGGCCAAGGGGTGAGGATCACTTGAGGTCAGGAGTTTGAGACCAGCCTAGGTGTCAGCCCCAAAATATTTGCCTTTGGGCAGTTTCAGACCACTGGTGCGACTCTGCCCTGGTATGGGCGTGGCAAGTGTTGGAAGCCAGGGGGGTTCGTGCCCACTTCCCACTCCAGCAGCCCTCGGCCAGTTACCGATAGGAGATGGTCCCCCACCTGTCTGTTGGGCTAACTTGGAAATGCATGGCCTCTGCGGGCTCCAGAGTTCCCCAGTGGATGAATCCCCAGTTCCCCACAGTGGTTTGGGCTTGATAAAATACCCTTTATCGTCTGCTCTCTCTTATCTGTGTCTCTTCCTGCCTCCCCTACCAATGTTCTCCATCCCTTCCAACTTTCCCTCCAATCCTTCCCTCCACAGCTGCTTTTGGAGAAACCCAAATTAAGACCTCCACAAAACCCCATCCTCAGCCAGGTGCAGTGGCTCACACTTAACAATCGCAGCACTTTGGGAGGCCAAGGCAGGCAGATCACCTGAGGTCAGGAGTTTGAGACCATCCTGGCCAACATGGCAAAAACCCATCTCTACTAAAAATACAAAAATTAGCCAGGCGTGTTGGCATGTGCCTGTAATCCTAGCTACTCGGGAGGCTGAGGCATGAGAATCGCTTGAACCTGGGAGGCAGAGGTTGCAGTGAGCTGAGATTACGCCACTGCACTCCAATCTGGGCAACGGAGCAAGACTGTCTCAAAAAAAAGAAAGAAACCAAAAAACCCAAGACTGGGCACGGTGGCTCACGCCTGTAATCCCTGCACTTTGGGAGGCCAAGGTAGGTGGACCACCTGAGGTCGGGAGTTTGAGACCAGCCTGGCCAACATGATGAAACCCTGTCTCTACTAAAAGTACAAAAGATTAGCCAGGTGTGGTGGTGGGCGCCTGTAACCCCAACTACTCAGGAGGCTGAGGCAGGAGAATCTCTTGAACCCAGGAAGCAGAGGTTTCAGTGAGCCAAGATCGTGCCACTGCACTGCAACCTGGGCAACAAGAGCAAAACTCCGTCTCAAAAACAAAACAAAACAAAACAAACAAAAAAAAAACCCAAAGCCCCAAACCCCATTCTCATACCCGCTCCACAGCCTCTGCTCTGGCCTCTGCAATATAATCGCCCAAAGAGCCCCCATCCCAGAAAGCCCTCGAACCCATCATAGCCACCTCAGCTAGGAACCTTTCATGAACCACAAACCGAATGTACATATTAGCACACTCCAGAGCTCTGGCCAGTGTCTCCACCCTAAAATTTAAGGCTTAAACCAACACCCTTTTAATTGTTTCTTTTCTTTTTTCTTCTTTTTTGAGATCGGAGACAGAGTCTCTCTCTTGCCAGGCTGGAATGCAGTGGCGCGATCTCCTCTCGCTGCAACCTCCGCCTCCTGGGTTCAAGTGATTCTCCTGCCTCTGCCTGCCGAGTAGCTGGGATTACAGGCACCCGCCACCACGTCTGGCTAATTTTTGAATTTGTTTAGTAGAGATGGGGTTCCAGCATGTTGGCCAGGCTGGTCTCTAACTCCTGACCTCAAGTGATCCGCCCACCTCGGCCTCCCGAAGTGCTGGGATTACAGGTGTGAACCATCACACCCAGCCCCTCTTAATTGTTTCTGACTGAAATCTAGGCCGGGTTCAGCTGGCTGTTTTGCTGTCTCCCTTTTGTTCCTTATGTGGATGCAGTCAACCTGAGGCCCAACTGGCCTGGAAATCCACGACGCCTTCATTCACATGCCAGATAGCTCAGCGGAGATACTGGAGCTTCCAGGAGTGGCCAAGAGTTTCTCCATGCAGTCCAGGAGGGCAGGTAGATCTCTTCACTTCAGATAGTGGCTCAGTTCTTCAAGAGGGAGAGGTTCAAGGAGACAAGCTCCTGCTTGTATCATGCTCGTTGACATGTCATTGATCCCAGATCAGTGTGGGAGGCATTACACAAGGGTCTGAATATTGGGAGACAGAGTTATCTGGGGGCTGGGCAAGGTGCCTCACTCCTGTAATCCCAGCACTCTGGGAGGCCGAGGTGGGGGGATCACCTGAGGTCAGGGGTTGGAGACCAGCCTGGTCAACATGGTGAAACCCTGTCTCTACTAAAAATACAAATTACTGGGCATGGTGGCCGGTGCCTGTAGTCCCAGCTACTTGGGAGGCTGAGGCAGGAGGTTTGCTTGAACTTGGAGATGGTTGTTGCAGTAAGGTGAGATCACACCACTGAACTCCAGCCTGGGCAACAGAGCAAGACTCCGTCTGAAAGAAAGAAACAAGGAAGGGAGGAAGCGAGGAAAGGAGGGAGGGAGGGAGGGAGAGAAGGAGTCATCAGGAGCTCGTGATGTTAGGTTTCCCAGATCAGCTGTCTTATACCAGCAGGTATGTGCCCTCATATGTATTCACACATTGGCAGCGGGTCTAGGAAAATTTCCTACAAATATGCAGTATTTCATTGATTCTAAGAAGAACTTGATTGAGATGGACGTGGTGGCTCATGCCTGTAATTCCAGCACTTTTGGAGGCAGAGGTGGGAGGATCACTTGAGCCTAGGAATTTGAGACCAGCAACCTAGGGAGACACACTCTACCAAAATAAACAAACAAAAACAAATTAGCTGTGTGTGGTGGTGCACACCTGTAGTCCCAGCTACTTTGGAGGCTGAGGCAGGAGGCTCACTTGAGCCTAGGAGTTTTATGCTGCAGTGAACCATGATTGCAGCACTGCACTCCAGCGTGGGAGACAGCACGACACTGTCTCTAAAGTAAGTAAATAAATAATAATAATAAAATAAAAAATTCAGAAGGACTTAATTGGGATAATCTTATAGTCAATTGTGTGACATAGTTTATACTTTGCCTTTTTTTCCCTTTTGTGGT